GAAAGAGATAAAAAAGGTATTTTTCAATTTTTCAAGCAATAAAACAGGTTAGCATACATGAAGCCCGTGTTTATACGACTACATTAGTTGATCTGCAACAAAGTAACGTTAAATAAATTTAACTTTAGAAATATTAATAATAATTAAAGCTGAATGTCAAGAAACAAGTTGATGTTGATAATTTATCATCCTCGAGTTCTATAACGTTTCTAGCCGATTATCCACTGCTCAAAGGGCGACCATGTTTGGTGTGACGGGGATTCGAACCCGCAACCCCCAGATTGCAAGTAGAGCGCCCTAACCACTTGGCCATGCCGGGCCAAGAGCGACAAGTCTCTGGGCTTATAGCTCTAAAACTCGGGTTTCGATACCCGTGGTGTATTTTTGTGCTTTACAACAAATAACAACCGCACGGAAAGAAAGAATGAAAGTAAGGCTTCGTTACTACTTTTTAACCTTTTACTGTATATATTAGTGGATCCAGTAGTTATATATACAAACATAAAAAAACTACAAACTTCTTAGTTGAATTATTAAGAGATCAACTTTCATCCCCATTCCCCCGAATCAAAAAAACTGTTATAAATACGCAGTAGACTTCGCTTTGATAACTTGGCTTTCTCTCAAGATTTTGCGTTCATTTCCTGTTATAAGCAAAGTATATTATTAACATCGTAAAACTGTGTTACAATCAGGTCTGTACACAGAATGTTTGAAATTGCGTTCGAATTTGTAAGATCAAAAGTCAACACATATTGTGCCAAGCACAATCAGCATGCAAAGCATACTAATGTTACGGAGGTCGGAGGGCATTCGACTATTTCAAAGCAAAAAAATGTTAATGCTTCATCAGAAGAATGTAGACTATGTAGAAAACGTTAAATACCATAAGCAACTGCGCTATAATTATATAAGCATAATTTTTTTACATAAAAATTAGGAGGTTCCACAAAATGAAAGTTCCAGAAAGTTTACACTGCGGTAAAACTGTAATCCTTTTTTGATGTAATTTTAGTTTATCTGTTTTTTTTAATTCTATACTTGAAAAGTGTCGTGAAACAATGAATATAATCCATGAGCAATACTGAGTTTAAAAACAGTAGAGCCTCCCAGTGGCACAGCGGTATGTCTGCGGACTTACAACGCTAGAAACCGGGTTTCGATACCTGTGGTGGGCAGAGCACAGATAGCCCTTGTGTATAATTATAAAAAAAACGCTAAAAGGAAATGATTTCTCCAGACATTTTCGAATTTTTTAAATGTACGTTTCGTTTAAAAGTTGCTATTTCCTTAAGTGTGATCGAAATTGTAGTGCTTAATATATAAATGTGGATCAACAGTGGATCAAATGTAATTGTTCGCGATGATCCATTATGAACATGAGAAGAAAAAAACTTGAAAATAACAGTGGCTCAGCGGCAAACAAAATTCATGATATGCTTTATTATTTTACATATTTAAATACAACGATAATATATTGGAGAAAATCAAGACTAAATTGTGTCCATACATTGATAATTGCTCCCCCCCCCCCCCGAGGCAAAGCAGCATGTCTGCGTGGTGGGCAGAGCACAAATAGCCCATTGTGTAGCTTTGTGGTTAACTATAAACATTGCGTACTGTTAGTGATGAAATGATAATATTGTTATAAACTATATTTACAATGTTTTAATTCAGGTGTTAGCTAGAGTGCGCCCCCTAGTACCACAGCGGTATATCTGCGGATTTACAACGCTAGAATCCGGGTTTCGATACTCGTGGTGGGCAGAACATAGATAACCCATTGTGTAGCTTTGTGCTTAACTTCAAACAAACAAACAAGCTAGAGAGCATATGACGTTAAAGTAGACCTAGGATGTTTTAAGTGACATCACAAAAATCTACTAACTTCTATAAGTGAGACAGATTTAAAAACGAGTGTGTCAGTGACTTAGTAAGCTAGCGGTGGATCAATCAGTTGTTTTAGTCTGTAAAGTGTTGGTCACTCAGTGAAGTACTTCGTTTCAGAGAAATATTTGAACCAGTGTTAGTTATGATATGTATTCAGTTACTCGATCGATTATCAGTGAAATTGTATGATAACGTATTTGCGATCTTAGGCTTGTATAAATTAATTCGTTATCGTTATGTGGACTGGATGTGGTTTTATTTTCCCCAAATGACTTAGGAGAATCAGACCAACGAAAAAGCAACTTTATTACAATGTGTTTTCCAATATGACAAATCCACTTCAATTTTTCAAAACACATATTACAGAAAATATTGATGTAATTATCCGATTTTCAAATTAAAATATATCAAATATGTTGGCTGTGTGTGTGTTTTGAGAACTCACGATGTCCACACTTTTGTCTGTTACCCCTACAGCAAATTTTGCGTCAACCTCTCGTAAAATAATAACGATAATGAAAAGAGTGAAGGTGTAAAGAGAAGTTATAATTTTTGGTACTGGAGCCGAATATTATACGTAAAGCCTGTTGGTTTAACAGAACAAAAATGTAAACATATAAACTATAGCAAAAACTTAGGAAGTTTAAAAGAAGTTGAACTGAGTAATTAAATATAGTTTTAACGTTGTTTTTTGGTTGACGGGTCTTTTTCAGATTATTTAGTGAAAATAAGGCCAAATCCAGTCCACTTAACGATAACAAATTTGTTTATTTCTGCGCTGTTGTAGCTTGTAGGTCTAAATCTACAAATGGATATACCACACTAATTGTACTACGACAAACGTAAATATAAACTTACTTGCAAAATTTCACGGCTGATCGATCTAGTAATTAAATATGAATTACAACTCACGGATCCAAGTACTTTCATTGGAATTAAATCTTAACTGAAAGACTGCAACTATACAAACTGAAAACAAAAGCTGACTCAGTGCTTCACTAATTCTCGTAATTATAATTTACTCTCATCTCTCGATACTACCTAAATTTACTACATTCTTGACGTCAAATTTAAAACTTTTTTTTAGGTATCCTAGGGCTACTTTTATCAACTTTTTGATCTAAACGTTATGCACCTTCTAAATAACATCTAAATTAAATCATTGAAAATAAAGCTTACAACAGTATGTATGCTTATATACGATAATATAGTAAAGCTTTTATAAGGTAGTGCTTCTTTTGGAGAAAATTCAAAGCTTTTGTAAAACTTTTGTAGCTTTTTTAAAACTAAAATAAAATAATAACAACATGGAAGTTCGCTCTGTTAGAATATCTGATTGGAAAATTATCAACTAAGTAGATACTATTACACGATTTTGTAGTAGCATAACACTTACGGACAACACTTTACTAAACAAACCCACGATACATTACAAGTATATATTCATTTATCATTGGAGGATGATTATAAATTTCACAAAGTCATAAAGGTCATAAAGTTTATTGTACTGTGATTTATTAACATTTTATCCAATGCATTTTCGTAGTGTTATAATTGCATCATGCTGATGTAACCTCAGCACCATAGCAGATTGTATTCTAAACTAAATGTAATTTTGTAGATTTATAATATATACAAGAGAGTAACAATTTGTATTAAATAAACTGTAATGGATTCTTAGAAGTTGTGAATCAATCACGATATATCTGGCACATCCGGTGCCATTGAGGCCTTTCGCCCTATACCAGGACTGATAATACCGGCTGGGATACAACAGAAATTATAGTGGTCTAAGTTCTACTTATTTCATCAATTCCATGAACAACAACCGTTATGGTGTGAACTAGATCAAGTTATTGAAGCACAGTTATTATCATTATTTAAATAACTTACAAATGAGATAGTGTAAGGATTAACAACACATTATTATTTTCTAATTGATTTTACACTATTTATTTATCTTATTATTATTTCAGCTTGGATTAACATCACCATCATTCTAAAGAGCTAACGAACCAGCAAGCTAGTATTATTGTAGATATCTGTAACAGTAGATAAATTACCACAGGGTTCCTGAAAGTGTTCTGTTTCAGAAGTAAATATAACCAAAATTAAGAGTATTAAATATTTTTATTTCTTGCTTTTCAAGTTCATATGTCAAGCTGCAGAGTGCATAATTCTTCTGGTGATTGATGACATGCGCACATTTTACTGACATCACAACAGAACAAATTGCTACTTTAAGCGCCCCTTATGTGACGTAATTTTAGTGTCTACTGATTGTTTGTTTTGAATTTCGCGCAAAGCTACACGAGGGCTTTCTGCGCTAGCCGTCCCTAATTTGGCAGTGGATAAGGCAGAGGGAAGTCATCACCACTCACCGCCAACTCTTGGGCTACTCTTTTATCAACGAATAGTGGTATTGATCGTAATATTATAACGCTTGAGCATGTTTGGTGTGACGGAGATTCGAACCTGCTACCTTCAGATTACGAGTCGAGCGCTCTAACCACCTGGCCATGCCGGGACCGTCTACTGACTGACGTGAGTTGTTAAAACAGATGACTCCTCCAGACGTCATTCTGTCTCCTTTCGGAAAAAAATAATTCACCAGTTTTCATAGTAGTGCCCTATCACTAGTAGTGTATGCTATTAATAGAAATTCAGGCGCGAAATGGAAAAACGTTAATGGGTTTTATGTCTACTTATTATTTATCATTGACGGTATTAATTTTACACTGGATGACCACTAGCATCTAAACAATATATATATTGTATTCATATTTATAAGAGATATAAAGCTAATCAGTATATTGTTATCATATATTTTTTGCGGGGAAAACATCGCACAATATTTACTTAACAGAATTCTTAAACCTCAAGAACAGTATTAAACCTGAATTCTAATTGCACAATGAATGGAAGTTAGCATATATATGAACAAGAGCTTTAACGGCTTTAGCAATTTTTTCACGCTCAATTACACGAAGCAGTTTCCGGTGACGATTTCATCCTGTAGTGTTCACCTAAAAGGAACTCTCTCATGATCCGAGCGACACTAGGCTTCCGCCTTGAGCAGAAAACTGGTTTTCGTTGTGAGTCATAACAATGCACTTCACTCGAGTTCGTGAGGGTCTAAGGTGAGCGTGGGCTGGGTGGGTCACTTATCCGCCTATTGGATCTTTCTTAATTTATTTGTTTCTTGGAGATTTTAAAAAGAAATATATGAAAAAAATTGTTAATGTAATAGTGGGACCACAGCATCATTGAGACTTCTTCACTGACACAGAGGCCTAATCTAAAATTCAAAATTTGTCGTCTTAAGAGAAAACTTTTGTTCCAAGACTAGGTGGTGCGCCCTAACGGCAGTAGCTAGATACATGACGTTAACGATTGTATTGGAAGATGGCGTACATCAACGTTGTTGAATGGACTCCTGAACATACAGCGGAATGGTTACAAGGTAAGTTAGGAAATATAGATTTTAGTCCTTTAAGATACACTGTAATATTTTTTATGTTTTCCAGCTTTGTGCAGTTAAAAGTTTGGTTAATGTGTTGAATTAAATTTCAATAATCCATTTCAGCGTCTGTAATACTTTATTACCAATATTATGATTATAAACTGGACTTGATTCTAGTTTAAAGTTTAATATATTGATACAATGACTTGCTAAACTATCCTCGCAAAATTTAATTTTCTATACACTGATACAGCACTGGTAATGTTAATCTGTATTTGTTTTTAACATGAGAGTAAATACATTGTTTTGAAACTTATACGTATCTAAATTTTAATAAAGCCAGGAAAGAGTTCAGTTTAACCAGAACCTGAAGTGTTGCAGTTTAAAAATATTGTTATACACTATACAGTACAGTACTGTCGGTAGTCATAATTAGTCATGACCATGAAGTATTAATAATAAGTTCTTAACATTATTATCATATAGAATTTAGAAATAAAGTTTTTTAAAATAATTAAATATCATTGAAACAACTGTAATTATTAAAGTTCAGTTGTTAATACTTTTGTAGACCTATAGTATTTGTAATAATTTAACAGTAACATTCACATTAGACCATGAAACCTACCAGCCATTTAGTGTAATAAAAATGCTTAATTATCATTATCCTTATAGTTAATACTTAGTCTTCAGCATTTATAATGACTGTGATGTCTATGTACAGAATGTAGCCTGAAGCATGTAATAATTATAAAATGGAATAACTTATAACTGAGTGTGATAATTTGATTGTAGTTGAGACTGAGGAAATAAAAACTTTATCTTAAATGTAATAGGTATTTAATATTATTTTATGCAAAATCTTCGAGCATTGTATGTGGACATAGTACTGGTAGACATCTCTGCACAGTCAGCAGCATTGTCAAGCAGTAAAAGGATTTCGTTAGACTATGAGATACACGCAACACTATAACTGTTACACTGTTAATTACCTCATAATAACAACATTGCATACTACAGCTAAAGACTAATGACATAGAAATACTTAAAAATTAATTCAGATTATAGGAGTTTAATCATGCTATATGTTAATTTTTACCTTTACACCCGGTGGAGAGGTGAGGCTATTCCAATGGGGTCCATGAGTGTGTGTGTCTGTGTTTCCATGCACATATCTCAAAAACTAATAGATCAATGCACACACATTTTACACAAGATGGGAAGTTATTCCTCCCCAGATTTGGTCCAGATCCAGATTCTGGATCACTTCAAAGGATTTTTGATAATGGTGGGATAGTACATTTTTGCTGTTTTGGGTTAATAACTCTTTAAAGTGGGATTGAATTTGTACCAAATTTCATAGGCACATTAAAATGGAGACTTCTCATCACAATACAAAAAAATTATCCAGCTCATTGATCATTCTGGATCTGAGAAGGGTTTTCTGAATCTTCGAAGGTGAAATGTGACATTATCCAATATAAATGAATGCAATCTCAAAAAGGAGCAGTGGGGTGAGGGGTTTGCAATCTTTGTGATTGCTCTTGTTATAACTTGGTTTTGGCCACTATAGATGGATATGAGCTTTTCACAGACTGGTTAAAATATTGCAAGGCTTAGAGCTTTATATCTCAAGCATTATAATTTATATTGTTATGACCAAGCTTTTAAGGGTTATACTAATTACCACAAATTAAATAAATAACATGCAAAACATATATATAATATATACAGTAAGAAAACTTTTTAAAATGAGAATAAGAAGAGATAACTTTACTAATGTTTTATTTTATATATATATATATATATACACAACACAGCTAATGGAAGTAAACATAATAATAAACATTTTGTATAAAATAAAGTATTAGCAAAAGACTTAACAAATGATTCTGTAATGAATGGATAAAATGGCAGATCTTTGTTGTAATGATCTATTTTGATAGTTTATGCAAATGAAATCACAAAATATTTGTAGCTCAAAATATGCGATCATATTGCACGTGTATTTGTAGTTGGTTTATGGTACTTTGTGTTACCTTATGGTAATCAGCAAGACTGCTTTTAAATTTAAGGCTTAACTGCAGTGTTGATTACATAATGTTTAATATGTACTGTTACAGACCATAGCTGCTCACTTTTGTAAATGTTTATCTGTCTAACTCGTATTTATTCTGAATAACAACTTTAATGTGATCTAGCAAAGAATTAAAAGTATCATAAATCAGAGATGTGAATACTTTGATGTAAGACGTGTGTTAAAGTAAACTAGAACAATGTAGGTGAAACAAAATTTATGAAATGAACATGTATGTATGAAGAAACTTGGATTCCATTGAAATAAGATTATGTATTATTTAAATTTAAAAAAGTCATCCAAAGTGCAAAAATAGTCATGTACAAATATCTAAATTATTGTAATTTGTAG